CCACCAATGATAGAATTAGGTAAAATTGATAAATATTTTACACATTTATTTATTTTTTTACCAAATTAATTTTTATTATGTATTTGGATGACGATCATGTAATGAGTGGTTGTTTTTATTTTCATTAAATTAGTTTATATTCTTTCAAAAGTAAAATATGGTGAGAAGTTTGATATCATTATCAAATCATCCATTAAATCAAAAAATCCAAAACTGAAAACATTTCATATATTAAAATATATCGATTACACATTAAAAGCCTAGCAACCACCCATTACATGATCATTATCTAAACCCATAATAAAATTAGTAAAAAAAATTAAATAAATGTGTAAAAAATTTATCAATTTTACATGATTTTATCTTTGATAGGTAGAAATTATTTTTAAAAATTTAAAAAAAAATTTTGACATTTATTTTTATCAAATTGATGACTTTGCCCTTAAATTTGAGTAATGGTATCTTCAATTATCCTTATTTGGAACAAGATTCAAAATTATGAGTCAAATGTGTTATTGAAAAGTCAGAGATTAAAGTGACACAAGCCCCAAAATATAGGGACTATAAGTGTAATTTGTCCTTAAATTAGTTTCTATTTTTTCAAAAGTCAAATATAAGGACAACTTAGATATCATTATTAAATTAATCCATTAAATCAAAAAATTCAAAATTAAAAACATTTCATATATTAAATATATCGATTACACATTAAAATCTTAACAACCACCCATTACATGATTATCTAAACACATAATAAAAATTAGTTTGGTAAAATAAATAAATAAATAAATGTCTAAAAGATTTATTAATTTTACATAATTTTATCTTTGGTCGGTAGAAATAATTTTTAAAAATTTAAAAATATTTTTTGACATTTATTTTTATCAAATTAGTTTATATTTTATCAAATTGACAATTTTGCCCTTAAAATTAAGTAATGGTATCTTTAATTGTCCTTATTTGGAATAGATTCAAAATTTATGGTTAAATGTGTCACAATTGAAAAGTTAGGGATCAAAGTGACACGAGCCCCAAACTATAGGAACTGTTAGTGTAATTCGTTCATCTTTTAATTATGTTGAGTTGGATTGTTATCCAAAAAAAAATATTGACACGTTTTATTATGTTCAAAATTTATAAAAGTTTAAACCGTCAAACCAATTCGCATCAATCAGCCAATCTATTCAATCCGCATCCGTCAATCCAGAAGACAGATGCAAGTTGATATTTTTTCAATTCACCAATTCGATAGACAAATAACAAATTAGAGATTTTCTGACCATAACCGAACCCCAAACAGCCCCTAATGAGAATATAAGATTTGGGCTTGTTTAAGAGGTTTATCATATGTCTCATAAAAAAAATTAGACAGATCCAACTATAGTAAACTTTTTATTTTATTGTATTTGTTTTAAAAAGTTAAATAGTCTATTTTTAAAAATATACTTATATATATATATATATATATATATATATATATATTTTAGGCAAAATCGTACTCAGCTAGTAAGCTTTAGATTAACAAACGAAAGAGAAATAATTGAGGCTTAAACCATCTCCAACCCTAGTATTAGATTTGTCATCAAATTTAAATTTGATGAAACACGCTACTTTTTGGGCTCCAATCGTGGCATCAAACCCGTATCAAATGAGAGGAAAACTAAAAATTTCATTAAATTAAGGGAGCGTTTAACCTTTTATCAAATCTCAATAGTGATCGTTGGTGGATGATCGGATGGATGACTGGCCGATCAACTGAGTGGACAACTGACCGAACTTGACCAGTTGGGCAATCGGGTGGACGACCGAATTGAAAAATTTTTGAAGAAAATTTACATTAGGCCAAACTACCACTGCCCCGATTGACTGGTTGTTTGATGAAAATTAAAAATTTAACATTAAAATATTTGTTATCAAATAAAACTTTTAATCAAATCTTTACTCAAATTTAGCGTTAGAGATACTCTAATAGCAACTTTTCACTCACTTCCCCCCTATTATTCTTAAACTTTTCCCAATCATTATCATCCTGTCCTTAACCCACCCTAGCCCTTCCCTATCCACTCCCAGTCTCATTCACTGCATTCTCGGTCTTCATCTACTATCTCCAACCTCCTCCATCCCATCTCAATCTCCTTTCGCTGCTCTCAACCTTATTTTTCCTCAACCTCGTCTATCCACTATTGGTCCCTTTCATCATCATCAACAACACAACAAAATAAAAATAAAAAAAAATAAAAGAGAGAAGAAATGAAGATCAAAGTAGGCTTTCACACTTTGCAAATGTAATTCACGACTGATTTGGAGTGGGTTTTTGCATAGATTGAAAAAGGAAGGGATTGGTTTGGAGTGGGTTTTTGCAAAGATTGAGAAAGGGTAAGGTTTTGCAAATAGGGGAGGGAGGAGAAGGGGAGGAAGGAGAAAGGGAGAGAAGTGAATAGAGGAGACAATGCAAATATGGGAACAAAAAATTATTATCTCTATGATTTTTCAATTAATTTTGCTTCCATGTCTAGTGTAATTTAAAAAGATTCTCAATCATTTTTGTTATATTTTGTCCCATTTACCATTTTGCATTGTGCTTTTTTAAGGAGTTATTGTCAAAAAAACAAACTTGTTATATGAATCCAATTTTCATTTCATCCGAGAGATGCCTTTGTCATTTTATCAAAATGAAACATTTATCCTAATTCCGTAGAACTTAAAAATGATATTGAGCTTGCAAAGCTTGATTTTATATATATACATATACACACTCTACCTGACTGATCGTCAGACCATTTGTGTATCACATATATGTATGTAGATCTTTCAACATTGCTTGAAAAATCTTCAACTCACAAAAACAAATTATGCAGAGTTTGGCCTACAGTTGTTGGCTTCCAACATTGGCAGTGCAGAAGAAAATCACAAGAGTGGGTGATGTCACAGCGCTGCGAGAAGAAAGAAGGAAACAAACAGTTACAAAAAAAATAAAAATAAAAAATTTTCATTCAAGAAGAAGATGTAAATATAAGAATGATAGAAATGAAGAACTAGAGAAGGAATGCAACATCTGGAGACCAAAAAAATATTCTGATATTCTGTGGGGGGAAAAAAACCAAGACTACATCTAGTACATCAAGCCTATTATTCAACTGCAAATTCCATTAGGCAATAAATAAAGCCAAACAAAAAGAAAAAAGACTATCAATTAAAGCCAAAAATAAAAGAGACTACAAAATTTAATTTGAGTTAGCTTAGAATCTCTGCCTTTGCGTGCACCTCTAGCAATGGGGGCAAATATGAGGTAGCATAAGCCACCAAGCTACTCTTCTATGTGCACGGAATCCATCACAAAACCAAACATAACTTTTTCACAGAGTTAGGGCCCACAAAATTGATGAGTCTCACCATATGTGAGAGGGTTGTGTCTGGTTCTATGATTGAATTATGTGCACTTGGAATTTTTCGACACCAAGAGGGGTGTGTTCATATTTCTGATCGGCTGGCGTACTCCTGCACCAACGCTCCAAACAACGAAGGCCGCTCAAGCAAGTGAGAGGGGGCATCAAATTCCTTTGCCCGTCCTGTACAAAGCAATCAAAGCCACAATGCAGGAAATTAGCAATAGCATGACCAGAACTGTGTGAGTATTTGCACCCTGAACACAGTCCTCGCAGTTAAAAGAAATAAGTCAAGTTTTCCCACCCTCAACATAGAAAATGAAACTAGAAATAGCTAATAACATTAAGGAATCTAAGTTCACAGTCATATTAATCATGGCCATAAATAAAAGCTCAACACACCAGAACCATTCTAGACTCCATTTGAATTAGTCAAAAAAAATTATAAACAAAATTCATCTAGGGCAGCGCCATTCTTGCAAAGTTGCAATTACAAGGCATAATAATGGGTGTTTTGACATAAAATGAAAGGGCCATAAACGTCACATCATTCTATATGAAATTTATAAAAAAATAAGTTTGTATAATATTACTCCTGTTTAGGTGAATGTGAATCTTAACAAGTATAGGATGCTAACTACTCGACCGCAAACAGAACCGCATAATTTACCCTTTATTTAAAAAAAAAAAGGGAAAAAAAAGGGAAAAAAAAAAAAAAAAAAAAATCAAAACGCATCGAAACGACGTCGTTTCACTCTCGAGCCATTTTCGAGCCACGTTTTTGGAGCTAGAATCGAAAGCGTAAAATTTTTAGTAAAAAAAAGAAAAATGATTGGTGGCCCTAAAAAAGTTGCCCCTAATATCCCTAATTTTCAATTTTGGAAACTGTTTTCTTTTTTTCTTTCTTTTTTTCCTTTTTTTTTTTACCTGAAATGGAATTTCGGGGCATTCGGGCCACCCCATTTCGGGCCCTCAATCACTGCCGTAAAAAAAATTTAAAAAGTGCCAAATTGTTTGTCATCATTTTAAAAAAAAAAAAGTTAGGTGTCAGATCAGTTTTTTACTCATTAAAATAAATTTAAACAACTTTTTAGGCTTCGTTTGGCAAGAGCTAAACAGGATTTTTTTGACTATTTTAGTCACAAAAGACAAAATACGCTATTTTAATCACAAAAAACAAAATATCACATCCAAACCATAATCATTATATTCTTTTCTCACAAAAAAAGCCAAAAAAATCAAAAAGTCAAAAAGTCCTTTCCAAACCAAACTTTTTAACCCAGGTTAAAATAGTCAAAAAAATCAAAAAGCCAACTTACTTCCCAAACAAAGGCTAAATACGTTAATTTTTTAAATTCATTAGGATATGGTTACAAGACTATTGAGTCAAACTCAAAATTCATCTCTATTATATATTGGGTCTAAAAAGTAAATTTGTGTACCATTTTTCATTTTTAAATAATAAAAACCAAATTGATACAAATAATACGGGGATCAAAGTTGTAATTGCTTCAAAAATAATAATAATAATAATTCTTCAACCAAAAACAAAAGGAAAAATTCGCCAAAAGCAAAAACCAACCTAAGCAGAAACAACAGGAGGGGAGGACTAATTTATCGGTCACCGGAGATTTTGCAGCGGCAAAGAGGGCAAGAGTCATGGAGAGAGAGCCACTTGGCAATACAAGTATCATGGTACACGTGTCCACATGGGATTTGCTCGCCAACTGTGCCTTCTTCTGCTGATTGGAGGAAGGCTTCCATGCAAACTGTACAAACACCACCTGGGTTATTAACAGTAGCCATCTCCGGTGCCAAACAACTCTTTTTCTGGGTGGACGGTGTTGATGATGCCAAAGATCCTGATACTTTGATCCAATGGTCTGAATTATCGGCCATAGTTAAAGCTAGATCGAGGTCAAAACAATGATCGATCGGAGAGTTTGATGAAGTGTTAGGTTTTGGAGATACAGCTGCCATTTTGACGTAGAGAGAGAGAGAGAGAGAGAGAGAGAGATTAGAGAGACTTGGTGCATCGATTATATCATTTTTATTATATATCTATATCTATCTATCTATCTATATTATTATAAAGTGAACACATAACTCTCATGGTTTCCTGAAACTTTACTCTTCACATGTCATGTGGCAGTATTTTTTATTTTTAAAAAAAAAGTTAAACAAAGAGATGGGTAAGACTTGAACCCATGACCATGGGTTTAAATACAAGAACTCACACCACTTAAATTAAGTACACATTATAATATTAATTTCATTATTATTTCTTTTTATTCCTACTTATTAAAATTGCACACACATCGTGTGTGCCACCCACTAGTATACTAATAATCCGATATGTACCATATCAACGAATGATATATCATAATTTAAAAAATTTTAATAATTATAATTTGTATAATGAATAAGGTTAATAATAATGTTATAATTATTGTTGATACAATAATTAATATATTAATTAGTGTTACATCGTATATATATACACATGACCTGTGATGGGTCATAGAAGACTAGACATTTATTTTATTTTTATTTTTATTTTTTTGTTAGATTCAAGTGTTTAGATTAATTTACATATATTTTGATTAAGGAAAATGAGTGAGAGTACTAATTAGTGCCAGTGCTCTCACTAATAATATGGCAGTGGGTCTCACCCATTGTCACAGTGTTGTTATGTCAGATTTTTTTTTTTTAAATAAATAAATAAATAAATGTCACATTATTAGTGATTACTTTAAAGTATCACTTTTAGTGATCTCTATCGTTGTCTTTTGATTAATTTCAAAATTTATACAAAATGTCTCTTTCACGTGAATTAAATAAATCTCGATAAAGTTCAGGTGTAACCCTCGTAGATTTGATAGCATCTAATGGGAATTACCTAAAAATCCAAACATGACACAGTCAAATTCATATTTAAATTTATGAGAAGTGTAATTTAAAAAATAAAGAATGCTTATGTAATGTTTGAGAAGTAAGTATTTTAATAATAAAAAAAATAATATAAAAAGTCAATACATTCTCGCTACTTTGTTTATAAGTCTTTTAGTGAGATGTCAAAAATTCACTACAAAAACCAATTCACAAGCAAATATCCAAAAATTCAAAAAACCTATCTTTAGACCCGGTTGAAAATTAACTATTTTAATTGACTTTTGAAATTTTTACAATAAAAAAATTACAAAAAATTAAAAAATATGATAGGATAATTTATAGCAATTTTATTTTATTTTATTTTATTTTATTTATTTTGGATAAATTACATTGACACCCCCTGAGGTTTATATTTATTACAGTTCCTCCTTTACCTTTTGGAAATTACATCTCCCCCTTGAGATTTAAAGTTTCATTACAGATTCCCTCCATCAGTAATTTAATTTTTTTAAATACCAATTTTACCCTCACAAGGTAAATTACATTGATACCCCTCACATTTTAAAAATTACAATTCCCTCCCTAAGGTTTAAAGTAGCATTACCAATTGCTCCCTCGGTTAGTATTAGTTAAAAAAAAATTCATTGAAAAAAAAATTAACTAGAAAAAATTATTTGAAAAAAAATTTTGTTAGTAAAATTTTTAAATTTCTGTTTAAAAACTAACGTAAGTTCATTTTTTGAATTTACATTTTTTTTTCAAATTTACAAATTGAGACAACCATTTATAAATCAAAAAAATTATCAAACAAGTTTTTATGACAGTTTTTAAAATTTTTGTAAATATAAATTAAAAATTGAAAACTGAAAACGAAATGGCTACCAAACAGGTTTTACATGGTAAAATTAACAAATAATTAAATAAGTTACCAACGTAAGAAATAACTTATCAAAAGATTCTTAGACTATGTATAGTTTGATTTTGAGAAAAAAATTTAAAAATTAATTTGGTTAAGAAATAAAAAATAAAAAATAATAATTTTTATCTTTCGAGTGGTTAGAAATAATTTTTTACAAATTAAATTGAAACAGCCATACGTATGTATATAACTTACCCAAAATTTAAAATGATAATTATTTTTTACTCATAAAAAATAATTATTTTTTTATTTTTTATTTATTAACCAAATTAATTTTTAATGTTTTAAAAAAAAAATCTAAAAATCAAACCATACATAACCTAAGAATCTTTTGATAAGTCATTTCTTACGTTGGTAACTTATTTAATTATTTGTTAATTTTATGACATTTTTACCATCTGAAGCCTGTTTGGTAACCATTTCGTTTTCAGTTTTCAATTTATATTTATAAAAATTAAAAAAATTGTCATAAAAACTTGTTTGATAATTTTTTTGGTTTATAAATGGTTATCTCAGTTTGTAAATTTGAGGAAAAAATATAAATTCAAAAAATGAGTTTACATTAG